TGAATGACCGGGTTGATGGTGACTGGGCTGCGGACTTTTTTGATGCGTCCACCCTTTTCCTGGAATCTTAGAAGCTGGACGCTCAGTATTGCAGGAGCCGCAGCCAGTGCCGTCACATAGGCCTCGTTGCGGGGGCCCGGTTGTGTCATCCAAGAGTCTAGTGCAAGCTGGGTCGTGGCATAACCGCTACAGGGAAGGGGGATTAACGGTACAGCCGTATTCCATGCCCGAATGATCGCCGGCTCGTGCTCTCTAATGCCTGAGACCCTCGACTCCCATCTCCCAGCCAAAATCCTAGGGACCCCGTCCTTAGTGAGGTGCTGGAGTAGCTCTGCGGCGTCATGTTGTTGATGCAGGTCATGCCATCCCTGTAGGAGTTTCATGCAATCATTGCGTCTACTCAGCTGCTGTGGCTTAGCGCATTTCTTCAGTGCGTTGAGCATAGGGCGCAGGCTGCCGAAACCTGCCCGATCGGCTGCTTTCACCTGGTCAAACAAGTGCAGGAGTGCTTGAACCGTGGAGTTCAGGTAGCAAAGATTGGATGGATTCTCCAAAACGCATAGGCGGATCGGCAAAGTGCTCGTCACGGCTGTGTCCTCTTTTTCCTGATGGTCGGTTTTCCCATGTTTGGGGGATGAAGCGTCCGAACTTTGTGCTGGCTGCCCATTCCCCTTCAGCCATTCCCCTATGCTACGTGATCTCCCTATTTTGTTGTCCAGATGACCAGGTTTGGCAGGGTTAGAGGGGTCAAGTTTCTGCTTTCTGGGGCACGTATTTTTTGCGAGATCACTTTGTAGCACTCCCCCAGGAAGACGCTCCAAACTTAGCGTTTTGCTGTTGGTAAAAATGCTTTGGCGAGAGCGTGTCACTGCCTCCTCGTTGCATCGATGGCTCGCTGTAGGTCCTCCGGCAGTGGCTTGTGACTTCTCTCCGGCCTGATCCGTGCGCCTCTGAGCGAGGTGGCTGCGGAGTCCGTGAGGGCAAGCAGCGCCTTGTTGATGTTGGGCCGGGCGTCGGCATCCAAGGAGACCGTCAGCACGAATGTCGTGGTCCCTGGCCTGTCCTTCTTGACTCCTCCCAGGGCATGGAATCTCTGTGTGACATTGGGCTTGAGGACTTCTCTCTTCAGGAGGTGAATCGCCTCCTTTGCATCCTGATGAGAGAGCACGTTTCCCTCCTTGGGCTCCTGAATCTTCTTGTCTGGATTCCAGCGTGTGTACGTCCACGCCATTGGCTCCGCGGTAAGCAGCTTCCGCTGAATGAGTGGGGCCTGCGCTGCCTTGTCCTCCTCCATTCGTGCCAGCCGTGCCTGCAGTTCTAGCAGGAGTGCCCCCAGAAGGGCTTGCCTTAGGCTGCAGTTGCATTTGTTTTGCTCTCGGCTCTCCTTCCAAGTGGCCGTTGTTTTGACCAGCTGGGGTATAATTCCCAGCGCTCCAGAGTCCATCCAGAGTACCCAGCTTCTGTCTGCTTCCAGCAGTTGCAGGGCCATCGCGTGCTGGCTGACGTACTTGGTCAGTACTTGTACTTGCCTGGCCAGCTGCTGGTTCGTGTGATTCGGGGCCGCCATCGGCTCCCTTTTGGATTTGCCCGGGCCTTTGCCCTCTCTGCGACGAAATTTCCGCCCTTCGGTCTCCTCTTCGGTCGGTCGTTCTCGCATGATGAGCTCCATTGGGCTGTGTTGCCCCCACATGTTGGCCACCTCTTGCAGCGCCTTGTCGTCCATGGCTCGACAGAAATGCTATTTGCAAGAGCGGCAGGCACTTTTGAGCATGGACTTTTGGTGTTTTGTGATATGTGACTCCACAGTGTTGGCATGGTCTAGAAAGCGGTAGATCTCGCAGCAGTTCCTCAAAGCTGCCGGCCTGCTTCCAACTCTCCTGGTGCTGGTGGGCACAGTGCCGTCTCCAGTCCTGTTGATTTGTCAAGGTCTGTAGGCAGAGACCACAATGCCGTGTCAGCATGTCAATCACTTCATTATCATCAGCATCACGTGTGTCCTGCTGATACGTGGCGGGATCTAGTTGCCTGGCAAGGAACTCTGCCGTGATGCATGTTCTCACATCCCTCGTGGTGGGGGCCGTTTCCGGCGCCCCAACTTTATGCCATGCAGTGGCCAGCGCAACTTGAAAGATGACCGTGCAGCTCCGAGCGTGCCTGTCTGGTTGATACACCGTGACCTTGCAGAAGTCACATTCGCTGTCTCTAACGAGGTGGGGTTTGTGCCCTGCACACTCAACTTCCAAGTTGCCTATGCTAGTGTGCCATATGTGGGGGTGTTTTCTTTTGATGTGTTCTTTTACTGAACCCCCTTTGGCAATCCACTGCCCACAGAACCCACAGTTCTGGGTAAGACCCTCAGCAAGGGTGCTGACGATTTGCACCTTGGACCCCGGTTGTAGTAGTTGTCGCACCACTTCGGTTTGCCGCAGCAGTGGGATATTCGGGTCCTCAGGGGCAGCACTTGCCGGTGGCTCCTTAGCACTCTGGTCTATGGGTGGGAGAGCTTCGGAATCCTCGCTCGCTCCTACTTTCCCTACAGGGTGCACACGAGGAGAGGAAGTTTCGTCCTGTGTCTCGGCATCCCGAGTGGGGCCGGGTCGCTGCTGCCAAGCACAGACGTTGTTGAGCACGTGATTCCTCAGTGAGTCCCACGAGCCAGCTTTAAGTCCGCAATGTATGCATTGTGGCACACCTCCAGTAGAGTGATCTTGTTGTTGATAGGTTTCGTCATCTTGTCTGTGTGAGCTGACATACACCGTATGTACTCTTCCCCTATGCTGCCGCATGGCTTTGGTTGACGGGAAGTACACGCCACAGACCGTGCAGGCCACCGGCTGTGTCTGCTGCGCGGGCACCGAGAGCAGCCTGGAACTGGGCTCAACCTCTGTATTGTCCGTATGAAAGATGAGGTATTGCTGCAACATGCCCTCCCAGTACTGAATAGTTTGTTGTTGATTGATGATGCTCGGCTCAGCTACCCGGAGCTTCTCTAGTTTGTGTCTAAGTGGCTGAACCGTGGCGTCAACCGGATCCTGAACCCCAAGTCTCTGTCTAAGATGTTGATTGCTCTCATGCGTGATATGGGCAGGGGAGTCAGCAACGGCTCTTAGTTGGCGATAGAACCAGCCCCTGAGAAGCGCCACTGCCTTCGCCGAGGGTGCGAAAGCAAGGAGTCCGAAGGTAGCGCTGGAAGCAGCACAGGCCTGCCAGATGCGTACTCTGTGTGCAAGGCCGAAGACCTGTCTAGACCTGACCGCCTTCCGGATTTTACCAGTTCGTTGGTTTGCTTCTTCAATTCGGTGCCCTACAACTTTGTGTGCCTCCGCCTGAAGTGAAAGGTATGTACCTAGGTATTTCGTGTGATGAGCAATCGGGATGAGTGCTTCGCTCCCATCAGGCTGGCGAGCTCGCCACCATTTTTTCCCCTCTTTGTACACAACGTGAGCTTTGAGCGCTCGTTTTGCCCCCGGGCCACAAACCTTCAAAAGCAGACTGTTTTAGTGATGTTCACCAGGAGCCCCAAGTCATGCATGACCCCCAGAAGTTTGTTGATGAAACTGCTTAGTTGTGCAATGTCTTCTGAGGTCTCGATGAGCCATTGCACTAACGTGTCGTCCGCGAAGGTAGTGGCTTGCCTGTGGGGGAGGGCATCCCCCAATCGCCTCGTGTAGTGCCCACAGAGCTGTGTTGTTGATCACTGATGATGTGATACCGTGATGTGTCTAAGAGGGAAATGATGGCGGCAGTCATGTTTTCATCCGCCCCAAGGCCCCTGAGCGAGGTGGCCAGCGCCTGGCGGTTCACTCTATCAAAGGCCTGTTTAAGATCGAGACTGAGGATAGCCCCCCCGACACACAGAGTTTTGTTGTCCGGCTTTTCTTCCCTTTCCCGTTGCGCGAATTTGCTTCCGTTCCCTTTCCCATAGCACTTTTTGAAGTTCTCTATCCAGATCTGAACCCTGGCGAGTGCGTCAAGTCCCGCCCCGGTTGGTGTGCGAATTCCAACGCAGTTGGGGCCGGATAAGCTCGTACAGTTTCTCTTTGAGCAGCCCCGCCAGGGCTTTGGCATCTGGGGACATGAGTCATATTGGTCTGAGGGACGAGGGTTCGGAGCCAGACTATCCACGCGTCTGTCCATTGAATGGGAAGTGTGATCCCCGGCTGGTGGGAGTGCTCAAAAGCCAGTTTCAGCAGTTCTGCAACCTGCGTCGCTGCTAGGCGCCAGACCGAGGCCGGGGCAACATTGGGAGGGACAGCTTTGCCGATCTTGATTGATTTCAGTTGCGACTCAATTTCCTGCACCGTGAAGACCAACTGAAGGCCCTGCTCCGTACGGTCGGGCTGATCTGTGTCCGGAGCAAACAAATCCTCACTGTAACTAACCAGTGCCTCGTGCTCCTGTTGGAGTGTGAGGAGTCTGCCCTGAGGATCTTTGATCATAACCCTGCGCCTAGGCTGCCAAGGTGCCAATCTACGGACCACCTGGTAGACAGTGCGCTGGTCGCCGTTGTCGGCCGCCTTGTGTAAAAGTTGAAGTATTTCTTCCCTTTTCTTTTCCTTACATTGTTTTTCCGCCTTTTTAACCTGCTTCCTCAGCTCAATTGTAGCTTTCCAACCCCTGAAGAGCCTGGACTTGTAGTGCCACCATGGGTTTTCGTCGAGAGTTCCCCCCTCCGGCGCCCTTGGGGGCCGTACAGCAACGTACTCAGCTTCACGCCGCTTCTGCCACAGGTGTTGCACTATGGGGTTAGAGGCAGGAGTGGGTTTCCTTTCCACCGGGTAGTGATTCTGGCAGGTCTGGAGCAGCGTGGAGTTGATGCTGGCCGGGGTGGGGTCTTGGAGCTCGTTGAGGGCTTTCGCAAGTTCAAGTTGAAGCGTCTTCGCTCCTGCCGCCCCACTGCGAACATCCTGATCCAGTTTGTGTCTATCTAATTGAGCATTAGTAGATCGTTTGGGTAGCATGTGATGGCTCATGAGGCGGATGGTCGTTTGGAGCGCCATGTGCCCGACATGTCTTCTCCAGTTTCCTATGGGGGGGGGGCAGTAACTTTGACTTTTTTCGCTTCCCAGTCCGCGGTGATAGATCTAGTCAGAATGAAGTCAATCTGGCTCTGTCCGCTCCCCTGTCCCGCCGAGTTATTGTACTGAGTAGGCATAGCCGGACCTCTCCACGTGTTTAGGGCCACCAGCCCGAGAGTTTCGAGGAACGCGTTGAGTTACCCTGGGTCCAAAGCGTCAGCCCCAACATGGAAGGGGGTCTGGCAAGTCGAGCGACCAACCAGGGGAGCTTGTGGGGTAGTTTCAGTTTGAAAGTCCCCCACCACCACCACCGTGTTTCTCAAGGAGAGCCCCCTGATACACCCGTTCAATTTTTCAAGGAGTTTGGGTCGTATTTGGTGCTTTGTTGGTTACGCAGCTCACGAAGTTCCTGCGAGCTCCTACGTTAAGAGACAGGACGTGGATGCGAGCAATCCCTCTTCTACCACCCCTTGCGCCTCTCTTCCTTTGTTGATCAGTCGGTATTCGTTGGGCCGCGTGCACCTGGACATTGGGCGACGCTGCCGTGTGTACCACCTGCCTTTGCTCCACCCTGTACACTGGCAATGTGGATTGCATTACGAAGTGCCCTTTTCGTTCCTGGTGTTCTGCCCATCTGACTTACCTCGTGATCTGTGACTGGTGTTGACCGAGCTCCCTGCACGAGGCAAAGTATGCATACCAGCCTGAGTAGGCGGCTTAGTGCTGAGTGGGGTGGCATGTAGTGACGGTCATGTCGCGATTGCTGGTCGGGAGGCCTCTTTTTGGCTCGATAAGGAATGCCTCGTCTCGCTATACTAAAAAGACCAATGCTGAGCAGGACTGCTTGTGCACCATTGGAAAACTTCGCCCTGCTATGTAAATTAGGTGGAGATGTCATCGGCACCCTCGTGGGGCCGAGGTCCATCCTGCCTTGCACCCTCTCAGTCTTTGCCCAGTCGTCTTTCCACGTCCTCCCATTGTTGGAGTAGGTCGCGGGCCGTCTTTCTTTGCTCACGCGGTCGTAGTCCCCCGAGGTCCTGTGTGAAGGCCGTGCACATCTGGGTTGACGTGAGCGCCGGCTGGGCTTGGGGCTCCTGTTCTTGCTCTGATTCCAAGTCCTCGATGTCGATGATCTCACTCTTGTCCGCTCCGCGGAGTTTCCATTTCTTGACCACTTTCGGCTCTCCGCCAGTGGGGCCGCTATTCTGCTTCTGATCTTTCTCAGCCTCTGTCCTGTTTGACTGACTCTTTCTGGAGACTGGAGGCTCCATCGGTTCGTCCTCCGTCTCGCTCCACTCCAGGAGTGCTTCTGCCCCTCTCGGGAGTCGGTGGATGCGGCGAAGTTTCGGCACCTCAAGGGCCGCTGGTCTTGAGGGCCACCACAGCATGTGCCCCTACTGGGTGTAGGTGATCTACGATAGGCGGCCCAAACGGCCTGTGGCGGCACCTTTTTGGGGCAAGGGATGGCTGCTGTCATGACACTGTTCTTGTGTGAAACCGCTTGTGTGACGTTGCTATCATGGAGAATCATGCAGCAAGCAATGCAACTGAGGTACATCCATACACGTATGATCAAAGAATTTGGTGTCCGGCGTAAAGGCGCGCCCCCCGCCATCTTCCCACCTGCGGAAGTGCATGCGTTATTAGCATGTGGAGGTCTCTCCCCCGTGGGGGGCCTGGGGGAAACCTTCACCTCACCCCTCTCGTGGCTTGATGTTATGTGCTTTGAGACGAGAGAAGGGCCGGCGGACTTAGGACCGCCGCGGTTACTGATGAGGTTCAGATAAGTGTCGTGAATTCGGAAGGGGGTTATTAGGGGTCTGCGTCTGTATTTGCCTTTTATACGTCTGTGCATGAGCCACCTTCGTCTCTGCTTTGTTGCTTGAAAGTGTAGGATCAAAAGCAACACATTGCAGAATCCCAATATGCTCGCAACATACCACCCTTCTAGGAGTCCCGTGAGTTCAATCCGCTTTTGTGGAACAGCTCCTGAGAAGCTGGCAGTCGCGGCACCCTTGCGGGGCCGTGTTCGAGAACAGACGGCCTGCATCGGGCTGTGGCTGACTGGGTGCAACGGTTGCATGATGCGCTCAGCATTGTCCAAGAGGGGGTTCATGTTCTGGCATGTTCTCAGGAGAGGTGTCGAATTTTTCCTATCATGGCCGATTTGTCTGCAATGTTGGCGGCTATTACCTGTATGATCCTGAGGAGCTTCTACTGCATGGCTGGCACTCTGATGTTTGCCGGCTTGCTTTGAATCGATCACCGTTTCGGCTCTCCTTACTGGGACCGTCGGATCGGAGAAAAGGGACGTGCCGCCCGTGTCTGGCAGCATGTCTCGGCTCATGATCAGGCGTATGTGGGAGGAGCCATGGATGTCACACCATTGATATCGCTGCCTGTCGCGGATATCGACTATCCAGCGGATGTCTCCCAGGCTAATGCCCTTATCCTTCAAGAGGGGGCTGCATGCTAGCTCGATGGCTGAGGCAAAGCCGTCCTTGCGGACGTGAACTCCGTATCTGTGGCCTGGCTCGCGGAGGATCTCAATGAGGGCATAGTTGATGTCGTCTCTTCTTGTGGGGCTGTCCGGCGGTGCTGTTGACGACCCGGCCGATGAGGACTTAGCGCAATGGGCGGGGCCACGGCTCCGATCTGGGCTTTCATGCTGGTCCTTCTTCTCGGCGGCTTGTTTTTGCGGTCCTTGAGCAGGACTGCTCCTTGAAGAGGATAGAGAAGGGGCTCGATGGGCCGGACTTCGGCTCCTTCCAGCTGCATGGTCCTCCTTCGCCATCTGTCTGACAACCTGTCCCCGTGATGTCTGGTCGTCGGGCTTTGACTGCTCCTTCGCGGGGGAGTGAGGCTCGGGGAGGCTTTCATGGGGCTCTGCCTGCGGCCATCGGCCCTTCCTTGCTGTTGACGTGTCTCTGACTGATGTGAGCCCTCAGCTTGCGTCCTCTGTGAGGCTTGAATGGTCTCGGCCTCATCGAGTCGTCGTGACCTTCCCTGAGCCTCTGCAGAAGCATCATCAAGGAGTGTTCAAGGCCATCCCGTTGGTGGGTCGGGTTCCCTGGCCTCCTCCGGCGTCCCTCCGTTGGCTCTCCTTGGATGGGTGCCGGATGTACGGCTCCCTTGGTGTCTTGGTCCTACTCCATCTCGCTGGTCTCTTTGTTCTCGTCGACGAGCCAGCTCATTGCGCGTCCTGCGCCTCTCACCATTTGGCCGCGCTCTGGCCCTAGGGTGTCTGCGCGGGCTCTTGGGCATTTCGAGCCTGATCTTAGCGGCTTCCACTCTCAGGGCCGACTGGGTAGGAGTTGTTTGAATGCCTGCAGCGTCAATTTCCCGTTTCGTACGCAAGAGTCCTGGGGTACCATGAGTCGAGCGATGAGGGACACTTGAGTGCTGGTATGTAATGAAGCGAGGCAAACAGGGGCAGGATGTGTTGGGATGCAAACCAAGTGCGTGCCCTAAAGATGGCAGCAGCGGGGTCTGCGCCTTCCATTCGTTGTTAGCCATGGCCCCGTCTTCCTGACGAAGGTGTGGCGTAGAAGAGGCGAGGACCTGAGCTCCATGGTTCACTTGAAGATGATTCTGTACATGCCTATGTAGGATGTGCCCCTTGTAGTTTACAGGCATGTTACCCGGCCCAAGCAGTGCAATCGCTCCCGGCATGTATTGTTCCGATGACATTGACTCCGGGGCATTGCACAGTCGGCTCGCCTCAGGGGGGCCGTCAATGCAGTCAGGCCTGTACAGATACGGTGAGAGCGCCTGAAAAAATTCCGGCCAATGCGTCTTCCATTGCAACTGAAGATAGAGTGCTCTGGGCAGGTTCTGCAGGCCGTCGTGTAGATGGCTGGCGAGCCGAGAGACATTGGCCAGGACGTCGAGCTCTGCCTGGGCTTGGGTTGACCACAAGGAGTGTAGCCAGGATTCGACGAGGTCACCTCCTGTTTGCCAGCTCTGTATCGCGCCAAGCTTGTCATGTGTCAGCAGGGCTCCAACCAAAGACCATATCCACCTGCCAACGTTGTCCGTGAAGAGCGGGCTCTCGATAAGTTGACCTTGGATATCGATGGCCTCTCCCATTTGTGCTTTATGATATAGGTCATGTCTGTACTTGTAGTGGCCCTGCTGCTGGAATTCCGTGAGATGTGCCCCGGGGTTGCTGGGTAGGAGCTCACTAAGAATCTGCTTCGCTTTGCCCAGGTGCAGCCTGGCCGCGGCATTTAGTCCTGGCTGTGGCGGCGCCCTGCAGGGGCCGAGTGTTTGCGATCTTCTGACAGCTCCTCGTGCTTCGCCTCCTTCTTTCATGCCACTGGGCTGTCTGAGGACCTCATCAATCGGCCGTTCTGACGGCCGCGTGGTAACTCTCGTCAGCGTTAGTCCAGGTGGAATAGTGCAATCTGACACCTCAGTTCCATGCGTCTGCGTGCCTTTATCGCACATCCATGGCCTTGCCAGGCTGGCTTTCTCTTCCGTGGATGGGTCACACTGCGTGGCGGCATGCCTGTGACCCCGCGTGCAGAACTGCTTATCAGGTATCATCTCCTCTTCGGAGGAATCCTCCGATTGGTTGCCTGCTTGAGCCGCAGGAGGTCGAGGTTGATGGCTCTCGGAGTTCGACATCGGCTTCGTGTCCGTGATGGGGTCGGCTTTCGAGTCATCTGCTCCTATCGTCCCTGAGGTGGCAGCCGTGGCAGGGCCCGTGACTTCCTGAGTTGAGGTCCCTCTGGATGCTTGGGGGGCCGACGAGTCGGGCACCTCCTCCAGCGGCTTTTGCTCCCGGGGCCGTCGAATCGGCCACCACCTCCGACAGACCCTCCATGTGCGGCCTTGTCTTCGGGGCCGGTGAGTCGGCCACCTCATCAGGCTTGTCCTGTGGTGTGTGGCCCGCATTCACTGGAGTGCTACTGCACGCAGCTCCTTCTCCCGGAACTGTAGCTGGAGTGGTCGCGATCTGAGTGGAAGATGAAGTCGTG